CTGCCTCCAGGTCATCCGGGGTCGGGAAAGCGATCAGCCTCCTCAAAATTCTGATGACTGCTCTGCTGATTCTATGCACAATGTCATGCATCGTGGACTTTGGGATGTCAAAGCCCAGTGACAGCAGCCTGTACGATGCTGCGTGGGCCAGCCAGTAGAGAAACACCAGCACCTCAACATCTTTCTCCCAGCCATGGTCAGAATCTGACTTCAAAGCAGCGATGACGGACACGATGGACTGTCATGAAAGCCGGAGGTTTGGACGGAGTTCAGATCCATCTTCGAAATACAATCGAAGAATTGGCACAGCAGCATTCAGGCGGCAGTAGGTTGTAGGGCTCACAGTCTGTAAATGTGTGTGTATATATATATATTTTTTTTTAGAATATGTATATTATTTATTTATTATGTTTATATTACTTATGTAATTTATGTATATATTATATCTATCTATATAATATTTATTTAGGCTATGTATATATTGTATGTATTCATTCTCTCCCTCTCTCTCTCTATTTATCCAATTGTGTATTATGTATTCATTAAGTTTATTCATTGATTCATGTCTTTTGTTTGTCCTGTGTATTTTTATGCATTTATTTATAACAATAAATTACTTTATTTCGTTGCTCCAAATGAGCCTCTGTCATGGTGTTTGACAGACATGACTTTTTATTCTGAGGTCAAATTTGCTAGCTAAATAGGTGATTGTACTTACCTTATTTGATAAATGATTTACAAGCTGTCGACGAAGGCGTGATCTTTTATTTATTTAGTCATTTAGCAGACACTTTTATCCAAAGCGACTTACAAATGAGGACAACAGAAGCAATCAATTGTAGTATTAAAACAGCTAAAAACAGATCCAAAACTAAAAGCTAAAACTTTATAAATACTACCTATACACATTTTAAAAATAAAGAGATTAAATAAAAATGACAAATGCATACAACAAAATTTAATAAAGCTAAAAACAATTCAAAATACTAAAGAACAAAAGGTATGAGTATAATAATGATTCTAACATAACACTAAGCCAAACACCAAAAAAAAATAAAAATACATATGTGTATGTACAACAACACACTCTGAAGGTTCAAGTTGATCTTTGCTGAAGTTGGTTGATGAGAAAGAACCAGTTTGCGTCGGAGAATCTTGGTGAATGGAAAAGTCCAAGCCGAAACCTGGCACGTAACTTGGGATGTTCTGGAGCGTTGGAACTCACATCTTATCGGAACCTAGCAGGACCACCGACTGGGTGGGTCCCTGGAGCAGGGCCTTTAAGGTCGGAGAAGATCCCCGCCTTTCAAGATGGGCTTGTCCAATGAGAAAGATGGAAATTCAGAGCGGTGGGAGTTTTGAGATACTGGGGAGTTTTTATGACCCTTTGTGTGAGGGCACGGTAATTTGCAAATGGAACTTGAATCGAAATTACTAAATATTCTCAGGACACTAATATATTGCCTATGTACCAACATATAATATACACGCTCGTTTAGATCATCAGAAGGCAAATTCATAGATACTAAACATGGTAGGATTACATATAAGCAAGAAGACAGGAATGAGTGTTTCCATCATAAGCCTGCATAAAACAGTATAAAATCTCAAAGACAACATACACAATGACCTGAAGGATATGTGTGTTCATTCAAAGAAAGGTTTTCCTAT